ATATATATTGTACATTCACATCAGTCCCTAACCCTCAAGGGGCGTACAATCTAAGGTCCCTAATGCAGGCCATAGATGGGGAGAAAAAACGGCAGATTTTTCTTTTAAAAAACGAAAATTCGGTCGTTCAAGCGGCCAACGTTGCCATCAATGGTAAAAAAAAAAAAATCGGCCGATTTTCATCCCTTCTACAGCCAGCAAAAAGTGTCCCTGAAGAGAGCTCTGCTATTTCTGACAGTTCCTTGACATTTACAGCGGTTGAAACATTGTATCTATTTTTTTTCCATTTAGGATACAGATGTTTTTATTCGGAAACAAATAGATACAATGTTTCAACCGCTGTAAATGTCAAGGAACTGTCAGAGAACTGTCAGAAATAGCGGAGCTCTCTGCAGAGACACTTTTTGCTGGACTGGAATTATTCTTATTTTCATCCTACTTCTTCTTCTTCTTCTTCATCCTCATCCTCTTCTTCTTCTTCTTCATCCTCATCCTCTTCTTCTTCTTCATCCTCATCCTCTTCTTCATCCTCATCTTCTTCATCCTCATCCTCTTCTTCTTCATCCTCATCCTCTTCTTCTTCTTTTTCATCCTCTTCTTCTTCTTTTTCATCCTCATCCTCTTCTTCATCCTCATCCTCTTCTTCTTCATCATCATCCTCTTCTTCTTCTTTTTCATCCTCATCCTCTTCTTCATCCTCATCCTCTTCTTCTTCATCATCATCCATCTTCTTCTTCTTCATCATCCTCTTCTTCTTCTTCTTCTTCTTCTTCATCCTCATCCTCTTCTTCTTCTTCATCCTCATCTTCTTCTTCTTCATCCTCATCCTCATCTTCTCTTCTTCTTCATCCTCATCCTCATCTTCTTCCTCAGCCTCTTCTTCTTCTTCTTCTTCATCATCCTCCTCCTCTTCTTCTTCATCATCCTCCTCCTCCTCCTCCTCTTCTTCTTCTTCTTCTTCATCCTCATCCTCTTCTTCATCCTCATCCTCTTCTTCATCCTCATCCTCTTCTTCATCATCATCATCCTCTTCTTCTTCATCCTCTTCTTCTTCTTCTTCTTCTTCATCCTCATCCTCTTCTTCTTCTTCTTCATCCTCATCCTCTTCTTCTTCATCCTCATACCTCTTCTTCTTCTTCATCCTCTTCTTCTTCCTCTTCTTCATCCTCTTCTTCATCCTCTTCCTCTTCTTCTTTTTCTTCTTTTTGTCTTCCTCTTGCAGGTCACTGCTCATGCGCAGTTTTTTTTTTTATCGGTAAAAAATCGGCCGATTCGCCCACTAATTGCCGCGAAAATCGGCCGATCGGCAAAATCGGCCGATTTTTTTTTCCAACTTTACCGAAAAAAAAAAACGGCCAAAATACCGAAAATCGGCCGACCAAATCGCCCACTAACGATCCGAAAATCGGCCGATTTTATTTTCGGCCGAAAAATCGGCCGATTTTCGACCCATCTATGGCCTGCATTAAGGTCACTGCACATGCACATAAAATTTTCGGAAAACGATCGTTCGTTTTTGACCATCAATGAGGATAAAGTCGGGCGTTTTCCGCAAAATTTTCCAACATCACCGATAATCTGAAAGTCCAAAATACACGAAAAACGGCCGACAAAATCATCCACTAACGATAAGATAATCGGCCGTTTTTATTTTCGGACGAAAAATCGGCCGTTTTTCTCCCCATCTATGGCCTGCATAACTCACATTCATACATACACATACAACATACAGTGAGGAACAGAAGTATTTGAACACCCTGCGATTTTGCAAGTTCTCCCATTTAGAAATCATGGAGGGGTATGAAACTCACATTGTAGGTGCATTCCCACTCTGAGAGACAGAATTTAAAATTCAGGAAATCACATTGTATGATTTTTAAATAATTTATTTGTCTTGCACTGCTGAACATAAGTATTTGAACACCTAAGAAACAGCAAGAATTCTGGCTCTCAAAGACCTGTTACTGTGCCTTTAAAAAGTCCCCCTCTACTCCACTCATTAATCTAACTTAGTAGCACCTGCCTGAGCTCTTTAAAGACACCTGTCCACCCCACAGTCAGTCAGACGCCAACTACTACCATGGGCAAGAGCAAAGAGCTGTCAAAAGACACCAGAGACAAAATTGTGGACCTCCACAAGGCTGGAAAGGGCTACGGAGCAATTGCCAAGCAGCTTGGTGAAAATAGATCAACTGTTGGAGCAATTGTTAGAAAATGGAAGAGGCTAAAGACGACTGTCAGCCTCCCTCGGACTGGGGCTCCATGCAAGATCTCACCTCGTGGGGTATCACTGATGATAAGAAAGGTGAGAAATCAGCTCAGAACTACAAGGGAGGAGCTGGTCAATGACATGAAGAGAGCTGGGACCACAGTTTCAAAGATCACTGTCGGTAGAATACTACGCCGTCATAGTTTCAAATCATGCATTGCACGGAAGGTTCCCCTGCTCAAGTCATCACATGTCCAGGCCCGTCTGAAGTTTGCCAATGACCGTCTGGATGATCCAGAGGAGGCATGGGAGAAAGTCATGTGGTCAGATGAGACCACAGTAGAACTTTTTGGTCTAAACTTCACTCGTCGTGTTTGGAGGAAAAAGAATGATGAGTTGCATCCCAAGAACACCATCCCTACTGTGAAGCATGGGGGTGGTAACATCATGCTTTGGTGGTGCTTTTCTGCGAAGGGGACAGGACGACTGCACTATATTAAGGAGAGGATGAATGGGGCCATTTATTGTGAGATTTTGAGCAACAACCTCCTTCCCTCAGTATTGAAGATGGGTCGTGGCTGGGTCTTCCGACATGACAACGACCCGAAGCACACAGCCAGGATAACCAAGGAGTGGCTCCGTAAGAAGCATATCAAGGTTCTGGAGTGGCCTAGCCAGTCTCCAGACCTAAATCCAATAGAACATCTTTGGAGGGAGCTGAAACTCCGTGTTGCTCAGCGACAGCCCCGAAACCTGACAGATCTAGAGGAGATCTGTGTGGAGGAGTGGGCCAAAATCCCTGTTGCAGTGTGTGCAAACCTGGTCAAGGACTACCGGAAACGTCTGACCTCTGTAATTGCAAACAAAGGCTTCTGTATCAAATATTAACACTGATTTTCTCAGGTGTTCAAATACTTATGTTCAGCAGTGCAAGACAAATACATTCTTTAAAAATCATACAATGTGATTTCCTGATTTTTTTTTTTAAATTCTGTCTCTCAGAGTGGGAATGCACCTACAATGCGAATTTCAGACCCCTCCATGATTTCTAAGTGGGAGAACTTGCAAAATCGCAGGGTGTTCAAATACTTCTGTTCCTCACTGTATATACTATCTTCAAAACACCTTGCTAAAGCATATATATATACACACACATATACTCTCCGGCCTCTGTTTTAGGTACACAGCACAGGTAATAAATGCTCCACATAGTGTGAATCCTTATTAAAATCCTTTATTCTTAGATACAAAGTGCACTCGGTAGTGGTAGTAGATAAAAACAAGTGTGTACAAACAGGAAGATCACTTCTTTCCAGTTTCAAAAATGGCTGCCAGTCGTTCACGCATGTGTCGTGGCGTGTGTACGTGGCTCCACCCTACGCGTTTTGCCATGTATGACGTCATCAGGGGCACTCTTTGTGGAGCATTTATTCCCTTTGCATGTTTACTATCACGAGTCCTATCTGGAGCGGCTAGAGGTACTCCATACGGAGGTTGCTTTAGTAGACCCCTTCACTTGTCTCTCTTGTGGGATTCAGAGGAGGATCGCGCCTGCTACGCCTTTTTGGTTGTCTTACAACAGATGCGTGATTGACCGCTCTTTACAGGGGGTCGTTTTGTTCTGGTAAGCCTTGCATGCGAGTGGTTGTTGACACATCAGCTATCATTGGAAATTCTTCTGTTTCATCGCAGCCTTTTGGGAAACACTTTCTTCTGATTTCATTCCATATATTGGACTTTTTATTCTCATTTTGGACTTATTGTCACTACAATTTATATAAGCGCTGCACTTTTTGTATTGTAATTTTGAATTGCCTGGTATCAGGGTAATAGTGTTTAGCTGCTAGCATTTTTGTGCACATTGTATTTTTGGTGCAGATTTCCATTGTTTTTTAGTTTTTTTGAAGTAATGCCATCGGCTGTTTACATTCAGGTTACCAAGCAACAATAAGCCGGTGACTCTTCCTGTGTCCCACTGAGACTGGCCTGGCCTTTGTGTAGAGTGGTGGTCACCTTGGATCCGGAGTGGAGATCTGCTGCAGTGTAATTACGGGCTTATTTCAGGAAACTATGTGCAAAGTACAGCAACCAATTAAACTTCATTTTCCTGTCATCAGGTGGTTTAGGAGCTGACACTTATATTGTTTGTTGCACTCTTACCGAATAAAAGCTTCCAATTAATAAACAATCGTTTTTTTAACCCCTTGTCTTCCACAGTACGTTTATAAATGGCATGGTAAACAAGGGGTTAAAACAAGCTTGCAGCTAGTGCTGCAGGTATTGATCTTTACAGCCAGTGAGCGGCTTTAACCACGTGCCTACAGGGCACTTATACCCCCTTCCTGCCCAGGCCAATTTTCAGCTTTCAGTGCTGTCACACTTTGAATGACAATTGCGCAGTCATGCAACACTGTACCCATATGACATTTTTATCATTTTTTTGAGACAGATAGAGCTTTCTTTTGGTGGTATTTAATCACCTCTGAGATTTTTATTTTTTCTTAAACGAACCAAAAACCACTGAAAATTTTGGAAAAAAAAAAACTTTTTTCTTAGTTTTTGTTATACAATTTTGTAAATAAGTGATTTTTCTCCTTCACTGATGTGCGCTAATGAGGCTGCACTGATGGACACTGATAGGTGGCACTGATGGGCACTGATGAGGAGGCACTGGTAGGTTGCACTGATGGGCATTGACAGGCATCACTGACTGGCACTGATAGGCAGCATTGACTGGCACTGTTAGGCGGCACTGACTGGCACTGATAGGCGGCACTGACTGGCACTGATAGGCGACACTGACTGGCACAGATGGGTGGCACTGATTGGCAGCATTGATAGGTGGCAATGATTGGCATTGATAGGTGGCACTGACTGGCACTGATGGGTGACATTGAAAGGCAGCACAGATGGGCACTGATATGTGGCATTGATGTGCACTGGTATGCACTGATATGTGGCATTGATGTGGCACTGACAGGTGGCACTTCTGGGGCCACACTGATCATCAGGGCACACTGATCATCAGTGCCCTGATGATCAGTGTACATGTCCCCTCCGCGGAAAGCCGATTACTGGCTCTCCTCTCCTCTGTCAGCGTGACAGCTCGAGAGGGGAGAAATGCCGATAACCAGCATTTCCGTGTTTACATGTGATCAGCTGTGATTGGACACAGCTGATCACATGACCAAGCCGACATCTTCGGCTCTTTCCGTGATCCGCTGTGTCCGAGGGACACAACGCACCGGCGATTGCCGCGCTGCGCGCTCCCTGAGCCGCGCATGCGCAGTGAGAATGGTAGGACGTCATATGACGTCCTATCAGAACGAGAGAAACACCTTGCGCACGTCATTGTACTATAGGGCGGACGGAAGGTGGTTAAGATAAAAGGTACCTCTAGATCACTTTTACAGGGCTCCAAAGGTGCCACCTTCTCCACCGGTGCCCATGGTGGTTCACAGGCTCTCCTGTTCCTCCAATAAAGGGAGGTTGGTAACTACCTAAGGCAAGATTCACACCTATGCAGTTTGCATTTTTTTTTAATTATTTTGTTTTTAGCTGCCGTTTTCCACATCCCATCCATCAAAGAGTATTGTTTACATTTTACATACATTCAGTCGGGTCGGGTTCTTTGGTGTATGCCCCGGAAGGTCTTGTGGAAAAGGCCAATCATTGTAAACATTCTATTTTTTTTTTCTCTTACCGCGGGCAGATAAATAAAGTTATTTAGGAAACAATGAAAAGCAGATTATTGCTTATAGAGCCAGGCCCGGGTAAACCCAAGCTGCTAGAGACATGTCTGATCTAAGATGGCCGCCTGTCTGTCAGGACAGATATCAAATAATGTGGTGTGAGCTGCAGCCTGCAGGTGTTCGTGCTGCCAAAAATCTTCCATCGCATTTACATCGATCATCGACAATGCAAACACCTCCCTGGCGGTATTCCCGAGTGTGGCTCGGGGTAAAGTTTCAGCACCACAAGCGGTAACCCCGAGCTACACTCGGGGTTACCATGCGGCACTGCTCTGCGACCCCTCGATCACTTACCTTGTCCCTCCTGCAGTGTCCCTGGAAATGTAATCCGGCCGATGCCGGCATCTGTCTTCCGGGTTCCATTCCCTGTGATGTCGGGGCGTACGGGGGGACAGAACGGAGGGAAATTTGAAAATGACAAAAAGTGACATTCACTAAATTCACTAAAATCACATAGTATAACATTACTGTATCAAACCATTTCACATACATTTTGTCCCGAGTGATTTGTCCTGTGCCCTGCCTGCATTTTTACTGTTCTTTCTGCCTGGAAACTGAGAAACGTCCATGGCATCCAAAAAGCGTCCCTTTAGGTCAAAATCGGTTTTAGACCGGCTAGAGAACAGCGATAGTAAATCAGAACCACTTGCAGAATTGAGTGATAATGATTCGTGGGGGAAATTCATCATCAGACACTGAAAACAATTTTGCGACTTTGCTCAGCGATGTGCGAACTTGGCGCTCTATTTCAAATTTCAGTGTTTTTGGTTTGATTATATTATTGAATTAAATTTATTATTATATTATTATTTTTTATGATTATTTATTAAATTATAATTTATGATTTCGTGTTTCAAGTTTTATCATACCCGGGATGTTTACTAGACTCTTGTTCGGACAGATTTCAGTGAGTTATTCCTAAAAATTACAGCCTACAATAAAAAACTACATATTTCCATGCAAAAAAAATGTACCGCTTTGAGCACAGAAATATGGACATAATCAGACCACTAGGGAGGTTAAATATGCACAGATAGAGAATGAAAGTGTAAATGCAGAAAGTGCCGTATGGGAGGCCTTGTCATGAGGTAACATGGAAGATCATCAGCAAAGACCGCTTCAGGTCCAATGTTAGATATTTTACTCTTTAAGGTGTAAATCCAGCCAAAACCTTTTTTATTTTTATCTGGAGTGGGGGAAATCTAGATTCCCTGTCAGCACTGTATTGTAGTTTAGGTGTCCAGCGAGATTCCCCTGTGATTCCCATCATTAGAGGCACAACAGGCAACACATGGACACCTAACCAAAATGGAGGGAAACTTTTTTCGGAACTAATGTATCCATTGAGAGTCTTCCGCTTTAGCCTCTTCTTGACCAAAGATAACACCTGCCAGCCAAGGCAGATTTAGCAGCATCAGCATGCATCAGTTGACTTGACTATATACAGTGCCTTAAAAAAGTATTCATACCCCCTGAGATTTTCCACATTTTGTCATGTTACAACCAAAACGTAAATGTATTTTATTGGGATTTTATGTGATAGACCAACACAAAGTAGCACATAATTGTGAAGTGGAAGAAAAATGATAAATGGTTTTCAACATTTTTTACAAATAAATATGTGAAAAGTGTGGCGGCATTTGTATTCAGCCCCCGGAGTCAATACTTTGTAGGACCCCCTTTCACTGCAATTCCAGCTGCAAGTCTTTTTGGGGATGTCGCTACCAGCTTTGCACATCTACATAGTGAAATTTTTTCCCATTCTTATTTGCAAATTAGCTCAAGCTCTGTCAGATTGGATGGAGAGCGTCTGTCTACAGCAACTTCAAGTCTTGCCACAGATTCTCAATTGGATTTAGGTCTGGACTGTGACTGGGCCATTCTAACACATGGATATGCTTTGATCTAAACCATTCCATTGTAGCTCTGGCTGGATGTTTCGGGTCGTTGTCCTGCTGGAATGTGAACCTCCGCCCCAGTCTCCAGTCTTTTGCAGACTCTAACAGGTTTTTCTTCTAAGATTTGGCTCCATCCATCTTCCCATCAACTCTGACCAGCTTCCCTGTCCCTGCTGAAGAAAAGCATCCCCACAACATGATGCTGCCACCAACATGTTTCATGGTGGGTATGGTGTGTTCAGGGTGATGTGCAGTGTTACTTTTCTCAATATAAGATAGGTGCAGCACTAAGAATAATGAATAAACCTAATAAAACAAGTATGTTTGCACAATTCCAGTTCATAAACAGTTCAAAAAGTGATTATAGTGCTCTTTAAGGCGCTTGCTTCCTGGAGACCGGAGTCTGTGCAATAATGATATAGAGAATGCACACTCACCGGACGCGCATATATAATGCGTCTGTATCAGTAACTCCAAAGGACATCAAGGCAAGCCAGGAATTGGGATGTCTTCCCTCCAAGGGATGGATGGTCATCAAAGGGATCCCGGGATTCTTAAATGTAGATCCACAACAACCAGAGTTCCCCCCCAAGGGGTTAAACGGGTGCTGCTCCCTGGATGAGAGATCCCCTCTCTGGATATAGGATGGCTGGGTGTCTGAAAATTAAAACTCCCCCAGGGAGTTAAAACAGGGGCATACCCATAGTGTAGTAAGATGATATGCAAATTTTATTCCAATAGTAATTAAAACCGATGCATCAGAGTGTATATCATAAAAGCATGTGTACAGGACTAACCGTCCAAGTTCTAAGATGGCCGCCGGAGCTCCACGTTGCTCCAGCGGCGTGACGTCCTGTGGACAGATTCTCCCAACTGAGTTATGGATCTCTGAAGCTCCTCCAGAGTTCCCATGAGCCTCTTGACTGCTTCTCTGATGAATGCTCTCCTTGCCCGGCCTGTCAGTTTAGGTGGATGGCCATGTCTTGGTAGGTTTGCAGTTGTGCCATACTCTTTCCAAATTCGGATGATGGATTGAACAGTGCTCCGTGAGATGTTCAAAGCTTGGGATATTTTTTTTTATAACCTAACCCTGCTTTAAACTTCTCCACAACTTTATCTCTGACCTGTCTGGTGTGTTCCTTGGTCTTCATGATGCTGTTTGTTCACTGATGTTCTCTAACAAACCTCTGAGGGCTTCACAGAACAGCTGTATTTATACTGAGATTAAATTACACACAGGTGGACTCTATTTACTAATTAGGTGACTTCTGAAGGCAATTGGTTCCACTATATTTTAGTTAGGGATATCGGAGTAAAAGGGGCTGCAAAAAATGCACGCAACACTTTTCCAATATTTATTTGTAAAAAATGTTGAAAACCATTTATCATTGTCTTTCCACTTCACATTTATCTGCCACTTTGTGTTGGTCTATCACATAAAATCCCAATAAAATACATTTACGTTTTTGGTTGCAATATGACAAAATGTGGAAAATTTCAAGGGGTATGAATACTTTTTCAAGGCACTGTATATGACTAATTTGCATATCTTAATGTTATGTCGTACGCTACCTTATTAACCCCTTTCCACCAAGCATTTGCATATATGAGGCCTCACAGACGTAAGTGGGTCTTTAACTGTGGGGCCGCATACTGTACTGTATATGTGCTAATGAGTTTGTGCTGGGAGCGCACTGCACAGCTCCGGGTCTTCTACTAATGTTAGGGAACCGGGAGGCTCAGTTCCTGATCACCTGATCTCTGTGATAGCCTCTGATTGATCAGTCACTGCCCTTGTGTTGTTTTTTCCTCTTGAAAGGAGAAAAAAGATGCATTGGGATTGACTTACTATTTATTGGTTTTACTTATTAATTATATCAGTTACAATGGGGTTGTTATATAATACATTGGGGTTGTTTTATTAAAGGCAAATAGACTGTGTACTTTGCAAGTGCAGTTGCTTCAGAGCTTAGTAAATGAGGCAAAACTTCACTTTGCAAAGAATACCCCCCAAAAAAAACAACAGCATTTTTGCTTCCACGTTGGATGATGGAAGTTAGCAGAGCTTCCCCTCATTTGCTAACCTCTGGACAGGGCCAGATCTAGCCTATCTGATCTGGGGGTGCAGTAAAACATCAGGGGGCATAATATCAACACTGTGTGTGAGTCACCGACAGTCTGTCACACAGTGTCTGGACCTGGGAAACATTATTAGGTATTAGGTTGTCATTAAATGAGGGTGATTAAACATAATCTGTGCCCCTTATATCAGATATCCCTATTGGGGTCCCCTTTTACATCAGGAGTCCTCATCAGAGTCCCTCTTTACATCATGACTACTCATACCCTTTACATCAGGTGTCCCCATCAGAGTGCCCCCTTACATCAGGGTGTCCACCAGAGTGCCCCCTTACATCAGGGTGTCCATCAGAATGTCATCTTATATTAGGTGTCCCCATCAG